AAAAAATTAATCGACAAATAGAGATATCGAAAAATTAAAAATTTAGAGCATCAAAAATTGAAAATTTGATAAATCGAAAAACTGAAACATCGAAAAATGAAAAAATTGAGAAATCGAAAATTTGAAGAATCGAGAAATTGAGGAATCGAAAAATGGCAGCAGTGAAATATCAAAAAAGTGAGTAATCGTAAGATTGAAAATCAAGAAATTGAAAAATTGAAGAAAAATTGCAGAACTGAAAAATAGATAAATCTGAAAAATGAAACATGGAAAAATTAAGAAATCCAAAAATCGAAAAATCGAGAAATCGAAAAGTCGATAGATAAATTGAAGTTGAAAAATCGAAAAATTATAATTTAAAAACCCGAAAATCGAAAAATTTAAGAATTGAAAAACTGAAAAAGCGAAACATTGAAAATCGAAAAACGGAGAAATAGGAAATTCAAAACGAGAAATAGAGAAAAAAATTGAAAATTTAGAACCGCCAAAAATTGAAAAATTGATAAATTGAGAAATTGAAACAACGGAAAATTGAGAAATCGAAAAACTGAAACATCGGAAAGTTGAGAAATCCAGAAATGAAGAAATTGAGAAATCCAAAATTTGAAGAATAGAGAAATTGAAAAATTAAAAAAAAAATAAAGAATTGAAAAACAGAAAAATCTCAAAAATAAAAGATGGAAAAATAAAAAAATCGAAATATTGAAAAATCGAGAAATCATAAAGTCGATAGAGAGAAGTTGAAAAATCGAAAAATTAAAATTCAAAAACCCGAAAATCGAAAAATGGGAAACTCAAAAAATCAATTAATCGAGAAATAGAGAAAAAAAAAATTGAAAATTTAGAAACGTCAAAAATTGAAAAATTGATAATTGAAAAATTTAAAAATCGAAAAATTAATGGAAAATTGAAAAATCGAAAAATCGAGAAATCGAAGTTGAAAAATCGAAAAATTCAAAATTCAAAAACCCGAAAATCGAAAAATTGAAGAATTGAAAAACTGAAAAATTCGCATTGAAATTCGAAAAACCGAGTAATGGGAAAATCAAACAATTAATTAATCGATAAATACAGAAATCGAAAAATTGAAAATTTAAAAACATCAAAAATTGAAAACTTGATAAATTAAAAAAATGAAACATCAGAAAATTGAAAAATCCAGAAACGAAGAAATTGAAAAATTCAAAATTTGAAGAATTGAGAAATTAAAAATCGAAAAATCGAATAATTGAGTACATAATTAAAAAATTGAAAATTGATAATAATTTGTAAAATTAAAAAATCGAAATATTGAAAAATTTAACAAAAAATAAGGAATTGAAAAACATAAAAAACTCAAAACTGAAACATGGAACAATTAAAAATTCGAAAAATTGAAGAATCGAGAAATCAAAAAGTGGATAAATTGAAGTTGATATGTCGAAACCGAGAAATGGGAAATTCAAAAAATCAATTAATCGAGATACAGAGAAATCAAAAAATTGAAAAATAGAATAGTCGAAAAATCAAAGTTGAAAAAAAGAAACGGAAAAATCGAAAAATTCAAAATTCAAAAACCCGCAAATCGAAAAATTGAAGAATAAAAAACTGAAAAATCGAAACATTGAAAGTCGAGAAACCAAGAAATTTGAAAATCAAAAAATTAATTAATCGGAAAATTGAAAAGTTAGAAACGTCAAAATTTGAAAAATTGAGAAATCGAAAATTGACGAAATTGAGGAATCGAAAATTTGAAGAATCCAGAAATTGAAGAATGGAAAAATGCCAGCACTGAAATATCGAAAAACGAAAAATTGAGAAATTTATAAATTGAAAAATCGAAATATTGAAAAATTGAAGAAAATTTAAAGAATTGAAAAAACCAAAAATCGAGAAATCGAAAAGTCGTTAAATCGAAGTTGAAAAATCAAAAAATTAACATCCAAAAACCCGAAAATAGAAAAATTGAAGAATTGGAAAACTGAATAATCGAAACATTGAAAGTAGAGAAATGGAGAAATGGTAACTCAAAAAATCAATTAATCGAGAAATAGACAAATCGAAAAATTGAAAATTTGGTAACATCAAAAATTGAAAAATTGATAAATTGAAAAACTGAAACAACGGAAAATTGACAAATAGAAAAATGAAGAAATTGGAAAATCGAAAATTTAAAGAATCAAAAAATTGAAGAATCGAAAAATCGAAAAATGCTCTCACTGAAATATCGAAAAATTGAAAATCTAGAAGTTGACAAATTATAAAATCGAAAAATTGAAAAAAACATAAGATGACATCATCAGTTTTTGGGGGAAAAGGACATGAAACAATAAATTTTGATTAACGATTTACCATGTAATACTTTCGATAACCTTAAATCGTTTGAAGATTTCAAACCATTAGATTTTGAAATTTTAAAGTTAAATTGTAAAATGTTGTTATGCAATTTTAATTTTTGTTTCCAAAATTCTGGATGCCTAAGGTAAACAGTCAACACAGATTCACAAACCACAAAAGAGAAGTACGTTAGTACTGTAGTTTCTGGGATTATCTGCTAAAAAAATCTGGATGGGTGGCAGACAGAGAGATAGCCGGAAACGGGAGACATGAAACGTCGAGAAAACATGAAAGTAACCAATGGACTCGATTATAGTACTTCCTTAGTTTACGCTCGAAAAATAAAAACCAATTTTTTTTCATACAAAATGTTACTGACAGATAAAAGAGAAAATTTTACAAGAAATTTTCAGCATATAAATCCTCTCCACGGAAGGGCCTTGGGTAATGTTCCCAAACAGTTGGAACACCTGTATAATTCGCAATGTTCTAATGACTACACAGTTACACGGACCCTTCAGTATCCTTCCGTTATCTGCCCGTTTTCAATATCCCCCAGAATCAACAGTCTTTGAATTTTTGACGTCAAATTAAAACCCGCAACCAATCTTAAACAAACTTTCCTCTTGTAAGTGCAGCGACGTACAAAAAGTAAAGAATAATAAAACGTAATAATTCACCCATCGCTGCACGTCAAAGAAAACTCGTTTTCAATTAGTTTAAAAAATACGCTAAACAAAATCGTCATCTCAAGAATAACAGTATTCTTTTGAGTGCGATAAATCCTCCTTTAATTAGAGAAATCAGCGGGGAATTTCAAAGAGTCGCAGTCAACGTTAAAATAAACCGAATTACGCTTTTTCCAACCGAAAATCAAGCTCAAACATAGCTTAGCAATGTAGAAAATTGTCGGCACATAAATCCTCACCGACACAGCAAATTGTAAAATATGAGCTAAATAAGCGTTTAGCTGATAGCCGTAATACATCAGCGAAGAGATAGTCGCAATTAGAAACATAAAGGGGTGCCACCCTCAGGCCAGGACCCGAATTACACGTAAATAATGCCCGGTTCACACGTGTCGTGTGTGGGAATCCTCGGGAGCGTGACGTCACCGTGGACATCTGCGACCAAAAGAAAAATAATAGAAAGGAAACCCTACTCCTTTACCACCTCCCCATTCACGACAGCACAAAGACCTTTCTGATTATTTAATTAAAGCGAGTTTTTTTTTAATTCGAGACCACATGCCGGGCGTACAAAATGAAATAACGAAAGCATAATGGAACGGTTTTTCGGTGTTGTGGGAGTGAGGTGTCTTGGACCTCTTTCTTTGACTTTTTTCTTTTAAGTCCACCCTGGCACGATGGAGTGTATGAATTAATCAAGTATCAAACAAGCTTTTCTATATAATAACGCGAGTTCTTGCGCACAATGGGCCCGTCATAATGGAGACCGTAATAATACGAAACAAATCGGAAGGAAATATGACGAAAACGAAAGATAATGGGGCTTCTGAAAAGAAGTGGGACAATGCACCCGTGGCCTCGGGCGGGTGGGGTTCACGGGAACGAGTGTCCTCGAGTGATGTGTACAGCTGAAATCTGCGAACTTATTTGTACTGAACTAGCCTCGCCTCGAACGCACAATAATAACCTTCTAATGTTTATTGAAAGAAAACCACCTTGATTAAAAACGAATCGTGGTATTGTTTTATTGCACGAGTTGCATCTGCAGCCTCAGCTTCCCCTTAATCTTTATTAAAAACACTAGAAAAAGCATCCACAATTTGTTCCCCGGAGTTATTAACGTCGTTATAAAAATCAAGTTTCACCCAAGAACCACCACCGCCGCACTAACGTCGTGCTTTATTATCCTCAAGAAACGTAATATTTTGTCGGCAATAAAATTTTATCTCCAACCCCGCGCCGCGCAATTAAAACAAAAGAACGAGCTTTTGGCAAAATAATAATCTCCAATTAGCGAGGGCACAAAATACTGGACCTAATCCTATTTAAAAACAAACCGCAGCAAACTTTTATAATAATTTAAGCTTTGCATCCTTATTAGGGCAATTATAATACTCCACCTCGTTCCCGAGAGCGCTCATTATTATCGTGGGATTTCGACTGCCTGAAAGAAATAAACTGGCTATTCGGGGGTGGCGGCGGCGGCGGCGTTCGCCCGATATTAGCTTCGAATCCATTTACGTCAACCTCCAACTGATATTAGTTTGTTTAAGTTTGTAAATTCATAATGGGGAAACGCGATGACGAAAGGGGTGAAGTCGCTCGGTGACGTGAACGTGGAAGTCAGCCATTGTGTCTAAGATCCCTAATCGATTACTCTAATAACAAGTGTTTGAAGGAGCATGTTATTAAACAAGGGACATTTCGCTTCATCAGCTCGTTTATTAGTTATTATGGGGGTTACTGGGGGATAAGGCGACGCACTAAGTGGTTACGCAAGCAGTTGTTTTGAGAAACGATTACTTAGACCATGAATCTGAAATGCGGGGCTTCCGGAACGAGCCATTACAACTTTGGAACGGGGAAGATTGGCGGCGGGTTTACTGCGCTCAGAATTAATATACTTCGACGAGAAAAGGTATAAAATTGTATGCGGTAAGAATTTTTTAACTGAATTTTGTTCTATATGTACAAAACCATAACAAAAATTCTACATCAATATTTAGCACTAAGCAAATCTTTTTCAAAGACCACTTCGAACGTAACCCCATTTTGATTAAGCTGCTCAATAAGGGTAGTATTGGCGAAAGCGTACCCCGGAGAGTACACACCCCCAGCAGGGGGCATTTTTTCGGTTTCCGTGATGACAATAATACCAGAAAGCACTAACAACATACATGTTCCACCATAAGCCGGACTGATTACATTCACTTTTCCGCATATCGCTTTATTTGGAGGAACTGTATGCTTATGGTCAGCGTGAGCAACCCCCTCTTTCCAACCTTCACCACACAGGGTAACCGTAAAACGCGAATTCTCATTTTTTTCTTCGCTTGGGGCACCCTTGGTGAAGACCCCATTGCTGAATTTTTCAGGATGCTGAAAAATGTACTTCAAAACCGTTGTTTCAACACTGAACGCACTTACTTCTAGTAAGAGTTCCTGCCCCCGTTTGTATTGTGCTAAACTTTGAACAACAAAATTTAACATAGCTAATTTTGGTATAGTCCGGAAGGATTTTAGGATTAAGTAGACCTCGATTTGAACTGGACGTTTTTTGGCTCGTTCGTAGAAAAAGCGTTGAGATCTTTTGACGACGGAACGATCCGCACCTGGAAAAGGTACCGCCCAGCCTTGTGGGAGCTTAGATTTATGGGGACGTGTTCTGGAAACTGAGTTCTATCAAGAGCAAAGATTAAGGTATATACAATACATGACTTGTAGTTTGGGCTCAAAAACGGGCAACTTATTAGAGAACAACTTTTTTCGAACCGCCCCCAGGTCCTTGGCGTGTGCTAGCCCATGAATTGCACTCTCCCAAGTGCCATAGGTCATGAATGGACTTTTCACGGCTTTCGTTTCCCAGATTTCAATAAACGCGTTGATTGAGTTCAAAGTACCATTGAACTTTTGTTGCAAAAACACCACTCCTAGGTCGATAGGAATACTGTCGATGCCACAAGCACTGATAACATACACGCCTTTCTGTCTAGCTTTTTCACTATATTTCAGCTGCATTTCTTCCATGAAATGTGGTTCTCCACTGATATCTACATAGTGAGTTTCTTCGTCGATGCACACTTGCACCACTGGCTCACCATAAAATCTGTAAGGGCCGCAACAGTTTAAAACGATACGGGCCTGTTGTGCCATTTCGATTAGAGATGATTTGTTGTGAACGTCGGCAACGATGACCGGGATATTATTCAGTGAAGTACCTATTTTCAAGAGTTAAGATTTTTGAAAAAATATTGACGCCTTACCGATTTTTTGTTCGAACTGTTGTCGTAAAACTTGTAATTTTTGTTTGGAACGGCCGGCGATCCCCCAAGTGAGTGGAGGCGTTTTTGCCTGGGCCAATTTATGGAGTATAGGGATCACATGTTGGCCGGTACACCCATTGGCCCCAAATAACACCAGGTCTATGATACGTGCCATTTTTAAACTGCTATGCTCTGTCGATATAATACGCTAATAAACAACAAATAAAGGTGAATATAGGTCGTCGCTTTTTTTATTTTATGCACTTAATAAATAAGTAATTAAGCTTCTGACGCAGGACCGTGACTTTGAGTGTCCACCCCGTGGTAAAGTTCATTAAAAAAAGGCGGTAAATAAGGCGTCAAAGGTCGATCGTGTGGTTTAATTAAATACGTATGGTATGTGTGTCTTCGTTCGACACACTGTATATATGTTACAGCTAATATCCGAAATCCGTTATTATGCATAATAACTAGACATTTTAGGAATTATGCGTAATAACTAAACTTATCAGTTATTATGCATAATAACTGGAAACATTAGGAATTATGCGTAATAACTGAAATTTTCAGTTATTATGCATAATAACGGAAACGTTTAGGTAATATTGATAATAACTAATAAAGGAACAGGAATTATGCATAATATTTTCCAAAAAGCTACCCACCCTGCCTCGCTTTCCCCTACATATCACATGTACAGTTGATTTAAAAAAAAAGGGACAAATTACAGTTATATAAACGTCATATTCCCATTGCTTTTCATTGATTTATGAGAACCTGAATTGCTCATCTTGTCCCGTTTTCTTGAAATCAGCTGGACATATTATAGACCAGTGCCGAAGCATTTGAAAATGGTAATAAGTGAAAAAAAATTAGAACAGGATGATACCCATTGGAAAAGGAAGAAAATATAACAAAAATAAAGGAAAACATTATTTACGGGCGATCTGAGATCCGAAAGGGGAAGAGGGTGAGCTTTTAAGGGTAGAAAACGGTTTATCACGATTTCCGACAAAACTAAGTCCTGTCGTAAAAAGTTAAATGGCAAAGTTGTAGGTAATGAAAAGATTTACAACTTTTGTATTTACACTTTCCTTACATAACCTCAAAATTTATGCGAAAAATGCAAATAACCGAGTTTTTGGTTTTTATTTTTATCTCCCACAAAAAAATTTTTTTTAACGAAATTTGGTGAAAACTTACCTATTTATGTCCCAAACTCACTGTAATTTTTTTTATTCAAAATATTTATTTTTTCCCTTATTTTGATTTAATATCGAAAAACCACCCTAATTTTCAATCGAAAATTCTCACGTCAAAATATTTGCTTTTTTTTTAAATCGGTGTGCTTTTTGTTCGCTGAAATCTCTACTTTCTGAAGGTGTAAAAAAATTATACATTACTACGGCAAATTTTCACAGGAAATGCAAAAAAACGAAAAAACTCGAATTCAAAAATTTGTGTTTTAATTATTATGTAAAATTTGGAGCTATTTATTAAAATGTACACGTTAATTACTCGAAAAATGTAATATTCCATGTTACATTGATAAATAAAAAAATTGCAAATCGAAATATACTAGGAGTACTATAATTAACAACCAAATAAGTTAATACACTTAATACTTTATAAGACATCTATAATATTTTGTTAAAGTTGTAGGATAATTTTTAAATTATATCCATAGGTGCCTATTTTTTGCTATTTTAAGATAACTTACATACCTGAATGGCCTACGGAAAATTTTAGCCCATCAGAAGAATGAACACATCGTCTATAAAAATACACGTGCAGGCTGAGTTACTTGAAGAGAATCGTGACGAATTGACTTATTTAAAAAAAACTTTTGGAATCTACAGTCACAAGGATTTTCCTGTAAACAAGCAGAAGAAGATGCTGATGCTGACATAATTAAAATCTCGATAGAAACTGCCAGAGATACTAATAAAATTGTCATAGTTGTGGGTCAAGATATTTTGGTCCTTTTGAATCAATTGAATTCAAATAATTATGACATTTATTTTCTCAAACCAAGTTCTAGAAATGTAAAAGATCTATTTTTCACGTCCAATAGTTTCAAATATGAATCTTTCAAAAATATCGTTGCATTTCTGTATTGTTTTTCTAGTTGGGATGCAACGTCTGGGTTTGCCGGAAAAGGAAAGAAAAACATCGTAAATTCATTGTCTTCTAATATATAAAATTCTCGTGTCACAGTGTGTGTAACCAAACTCTTCCGAAACGGTTTGACTGATTTTTATGAAATTTTCTGTCTATATTCGGTAGGTCTGAGAATAGGTCGCAAACTATTTTTATAACCCTAGGTGATAAGGGTGGCCCACCCAAAATTTTTTTTTGTTATTTTTCGGACAAAATTTGTTATTTTTATTTTTTTAAGCTTTGGCTTCAAAAAGTACATATAACCCTAAATTTTCACCCTTCAACCACCAACCCCCATTTTGTAGTAACGATATTAGATATTATTCAAATTTCTAAGATTGCCTGTATGGTGTAAACTGTTTTTGGCAATAAACTAAACTAAATTTTTTCTTTCATCCACAGATACGCAATAGGGTTCAAGATGGCTGTTGAATATAATCATTCTCGTACGATAAATTCTTATGTATAATTTATACTTTAATTTAATTATAATTTATTTATTTATTTTGATTTAATTTTTTATTTAACTACTAAATTATTCACTAGAAATAATTTATATGTCAAAACAACATTTGCTGGGTCTGCTAGTTAGACGATAAAATTTTGTCAAATTTGGCCAATATTTGTTATAAAAAACATGCAAACGAAGAATATATCGCAAAAAATTTATTACAATTAATCAAATATATTTATAAATGTAAAAATGACAATATAACACTGAATCAATTAAGATTTCTGAAATCAATTGGCAAGAATTAAATCATCATTCATATTGACAAATCTCCCACCAACAGAAGGCGTTTGTTTCATGGATTTTAAATTTTTGAGTTTATCAGTGTAACATGGAATCTTACTTTTTTTGAGTAATTATAGTATAAATTTTAATAAATAACTCAAAATTTTACATGATTAAAAAAAATTCGAATTCGAGTTTTTCGTTTTTTGGATTTCCTGTGAAAATTTGCCATAGTAATGTATACTTTTTTTTAGACCATCAGAAAGTAGAGATTTCAACGAACAAAAAGCACGCCGATTTTTTAAAAGAGCAAACATTTTGACGTGAGAATTTTCGATTGAAAATTAGGGTGGTTTTTCGATATTAAATCAAAATAAGGGGGAAAAATAAATATTTTGAATCAAAAAAATTACAGTGAGTTTGGGACATAACTAGGTAAGTTTTCACCAAATTTCGTGAAAAAAAACACTTTTCTGTGAGAGATAAAAATAAAAAATCAAAAACTCGGTTATTTGCATTTCTCGCATAAATTTTGAGGTTATGTAAAAAAAGTCTAAATACAAAAGTTGTAGATCCTTTTATTACCTAGAACTTTGCTATTTAACTTTTTTCGATAGGACTTGTAGTTTTGCCGGAAATCGTGAAAAACCGTTTTCTACCCTTAAAAGCTCACCCTCTTCCACTTCCCGACCGCAGATCGCCCGTAAATTATTTTTCCTTTTATTTTTGTTATATTTTCTTCCTTTTCCAATGGGTATCATCCTGTTCTAATTTTTTTTTGTTCTCAAAATATCGGCCCTGGCCTATTAGTCAATATGCTTAATGACTAATGTTTCAGGTATTATGCATAATTCCTGTTCCTCTCTTAGTTATTATCAATATTACCTAAACGTTTTCGTTATTGTGCATAATAACTGAAAAATTCAGTTATTACGCATAATTCCTAATATTTCCAGTTATTATGCATAATAACTGACAAGTTTAGTTATTACGCATAATTCCTAAAATATCTAGTTATTATACATAATAACGTATTTCGGATATTAGCTGTAACATATACACATGTAAAGAATGCCGGCACTTCTTAGCATTTTATGCCTTTTTACAACACCTTGCCAAAACTAAAAGAATTTCACGCCTACCAAAATTTGACTAACCACCCCCCACTAACAATTTGGTGACGTCATCTCAAAAGTCTCAACATTAAAATAATGTAATGTTATACAATAATATATACATTACTTATAGTTGTGGTGTATGAATCCGCCTAGGCATCAAAATTTTGGCAAAAGCGGGCCCTTTCTTTTTTTCTCTTACACTGTAAGCAGTCATAAGATTTCCCAAAAACAAATTTTATAATTTTTCAAAGAAAAGAAAAGAAAAGTGACAGTTAAATTTCTTGACAGTTAACTACAACTTTTTGAAACTTTAACACTGAAGAAACGGCATTTGTTCAGGGGCGAGGGAAGCTCTGTCGACATATCTTTTGACCAGTTTTTTTGTAGGTGGTGTCAAATATAATTATTACGATTTTCATCTTTGAATAACTTGTTTTTGTGTTATCATAATTTTTGGAAATTTCAAACATTTTTCAACCTTAACGAAAAAAAATATTGACCACTAAAGCTACATTTACAGAAATTGACATCGGAGAGATTTCAGCTTCAGCAGTGATTCATTTACTACCAAAGAAAAATGAATTCAGTTTTCGTTCGTCGTCATTCCTCTTTATCATCATTATATTCTGCTTTCAAAATTTTACATGAAAGCAAAAACCAGCGCTCTATTTAGTTTTTAAGTACAATTCACCTAGAGATGTTACCTTTCTGATGTACGTACCGTTGCCGGCTGGTTTAAAAGCCCATCTCTCTCCCGCGTTATAAAAAGCAATTTCCCCGTTAATCAGCTTTCGCTCCGCCGAAAAGTCAGCTCGGACTCTTCATTCGAGAGGCGTTCCGCAGCCGAGGGCCAGCTTCCCATTGTTCGCCGCTAAATTGAACCGATGATTCCATAATTTGTATTGTATGCAAATGAAGATGGTATCCTGGGCGTCCGCTCCGCCCGCCCATTGATATCGCACTCGTGCGCTCTTTGAGAGAGCTTTTAATCTGCATGAGTGATGTTGGTCGGTTTCGGAGCTTCGACAGCCCGATCCGGATCTACTCGTATTTTAGATTTCGCATCGTCCTGCGGTAACATTCGTTATAATTAGGGAATCGACGCCCCCGTCCCTCGGAAACCCCGTAAATGCCCGACACAGAATTGCTTTCAAATTATCCGAGTGAGTTCGCAAATTAGAAACTCGTTTGTACTTAGGTCTTAGATAGCCAATCCGTATAGATTAAACGGGCCTTTTCAACAAGTTTCCCTCGACCTTTCCGGAAATCCACAATTCAGGGAGCGGGTCTGGACGCGGACGGGTTTTTCTCGCGTCGAGAGCAATTTACCAGACGGAAGATGCATGCTCTGCGTATTAGGTAATTGCTTCCGCTAATTACGGCGACGAAATCCTATTGTAAATTAGAGACAAGTCCTCCATCAGCGGTGAAAGCCCTTTTGTGTAGGTCGAGATTCCGAGTCCGAAAGGGTCACTCGATGACCTCATCAGATCGAATAAATATTGCATAAAACTAAACCGATTTACGGGGATGCTTTTAGCACCGATCATTATTGATGAGGCGCTGCTGGATTAGGCCGGAGTTTTCCGGGATGTTTGCCGGACTCCGGCGGGAAAAGTCCCGAAAGTTACAACTGCGGTAATCAATGGAGCACGTGGTGCGGCTGTTATGCTGAAGAACAACAAAAATGTAATAAGCACAAACCATAATTGACGTAGCTGTCGTTATAATGAACTTTGTTAAAAAAAAAAAAATGGAGAAAAAAAACGGACGTGGACCGGAGCACTGAAGCGTTACGTTTATCGGTAATTAAAAATTTCAACAATTTATTTCCCAGTTATACTACGATTATGTACAAAATAATTCCGACTCCACTGGGATGGATTTGACTAGATTCATTCTCTCATTTCCTGGACTCGACTCGAAGGTAGCCTCTACTCAAAATATATACATTCCTCTGGATGGTTCGCGAACGCCGCTTCGAGGTTTTTCTGTAGCTCACAATCGAGACTTCCGGCAACCCGCTCCAAGCTTGTCTTTATGCGAACACCGCCCGGCCGCCGTCACCGATGATGAGTCACCCATCATTGCCGCACATGCTAGAAAACCCATAGGCTTCGTGTCGGGGCGGCGTATGGGTTTATTTCGTAAGAGTATGTTAGGATTTTGCATTTTTTTTTTCATAGATATATCAGGGAAAATAACAACAAATCCCGCTTCTTTGAAAAATAATAAATATTTTTTTCGATTTTTGTTTCCTGATAACCTCTATAAAGTAAAAATTAGCAACGTAAATAACACTCCCGCAGCTTGTTTGGCTTTCAATTGTCAATTTTTCATTTTTTTGTTTCTTCAGTTTGTCGATTTGCAATTTTTCGAGTTTAAGTTTTTCATTGTTTCAGTTTTCTAACTTTTGAATTTTTTTATTTTTAGATTTTGCAATTTTTCGATTTGCAGTTCCACGAGTTTTTAATTTTCAGATTCTTATTTTTTCATTTCTTAAATTATTAATTTACCTACAGTTTTTGTAGTTTTCATCTTAAATATGTATCAATATATATAGTTCTATTTAAAAAAGAATGACTTTCAATTCTACGATTTTAGAATTTTTCCATTTTTCAATTACATATTGCACTCGAAAACTTTTTCATTTATTCGATTTTACAATTTTTGGGTTTTCCAATTATTCGATCCATTAATTTTTTTCGATTTTTACTTCTTCAATATTTCAATTTTTCGTTTCTTCAGTTCTTCGGTTTGTAAATCTTCATTTTTTTAGTTTTTCAATATTACAATTTTCTCTGATTTTTTACTTTTTAGATTTTCAACTTTTCGGTTTTTATAGCTTTCAATTTTTCAGTTTTTCCATTGTTCAATTTTTGATTTGCGATTTTTCTAGTTTTCATGTTCAGTATGTAATCATTGTAATTTATAAAATTTTTTACTTTATCAATTTTATGATTTTATAATTTTTCCATTTTTCTATTGTCACACTTTAAAACTTTTTCATTTTTTCGATTTTTAATTTTTCAATTTCTCGATCTTTCAATGATGCAGTTTTTGTTCTTTACATTTTTGACGATTCTGAAATTTTTCGATTTCACAATTTTTGGGTTTTCCAAATTTTCGATTTGATTCGTTTTTTCTTCTTTTCAATTTTTTGATCCACTCATTTTTTTCGATTTTGGGTTCTTCAATGTTACAATTTTTCGTTTCTTCACTTCTTCCATTTTCAATTCGTCATTTTTTCAGTTTTTCATTGTTTCAATTTTTTATGATTTTTTACTTTTTAGATTTTTAACTTTTCGATTTTTCAACTTTTCCGATTTTAAAGTTTTCAATTTTTCAGTTTTTCGATTGTTCAGTTTTTCGTTTCTTCAATTTATGATTTTAGAATTTCCACATTTTTCCATTATTCCACTTTAAAGCTTTTTAATTTTATCGATTTTTAATTTTTCAATTTTTCTCTGTACTTAATTCTCCAGTTTCTCGATCTTTCAATGTTACGGATTTCCAACTTTATAGTTTTGACGATTCTATAATTTTGCGGTTTTACAATTTTTCGGTTTTCCAATTGTTCGAATTGATTCGTTGTTACTTCCCGAGCGTAAGCAAAGGAAGTATTGTAATCGAGTCCGTCGGCCGACTCTCTACTTTTACGTTTTCTCGATCTTTCATGACCCCTAGAAGACGAAGAAATAGGTCTCCCATTTCTGTCTATCTGTCCGTCTGTCCGTCTGTCTGCCGTACCAAATGACGACTGACGAATCACTAATCACTAATCACCAATCACGAATCACTAATCACTAATCACTGATCACGAATTTCTAATCACGAATCACTAATCACGAATCACTAATCACGAATTACTAATCACGAATCACTAATTACGAATCACTAATCACTGATCACTAATCACGAATCACTAATCACGAGTCACTAATAAAATAACGAATCACTGATCACTAATCACGAATCACTGATCATTGATCACTAATCACTAATCCCTGATCATTAATTACTAATCACGAATCACGAATCACTAATCACGAATCACTAATCACGAATCACTAATCACGAATCACGATCAGCGATCAGCGATCAGTGATTAGTGATTTTATTTGTTTGGTGGTTTGCAATCTTTGGGTTTTCAAAATGTATTTCCTCATCCCCCCTAAAAAATTGATGACGTCACCACAAAATTTTGCTAAATAAATCCTATCTAAAATGTACAAAATATGATGAGTCTTTTCTTGTGATTTATCATTCCATTCATAGTTTTTGGATTTGCATATACAGGTGACCCAAAAAAATTAATGAATGGGTAAATGTATTTTATTGATTTAATCAGGAACTCCAGAACCGAATGTTTTGAAATCTTGCAAATGTTTTAAGGTTATAAAGAGCATAATACATTTTTAGTCAAAATATATTTGGTTATCTTCTACAAAAAACTGATGACGTCAGCTCAAAAGTTTGCCGAATAAATCCTATCTAGAATATACAAAATATGATGAGTCTGTACTTGTAATTTATCATTCCATTCATATTTTTTGAATTTGCATATACCGGGTGACTCAAAAAAAATAATGAAATCTACTGCGAAAAAAAAACATAATAGACATGCAGTCGTCACGTTTCCGACAGCGAGGGAAGTACTGTCTAAACTCTTTAGACCAATTTTTTCTTCTTTCCAATTTTTCGATCCATTGTTTTTTTTGTTTGTTCAGTTTTTCGATTTTTCAATTTGGTTTCGATTTTTAGTTTCTAGATTTTTAATTTCTCGCAACTTTTTGCATAAGAAAAATGAAAAACTGCAAAATTGTGAAATTGAAAAATCAAAAATGAAAAAACGAAAACGTATTAAACGAAAATTACGAATAATCTAAAAAGTGAAGAAGTTGAAAAATTGACGAAACCAAAAATTGTCCAACTTGCGAAGAAAAATTCCATGGTTTTCAGTCATGTGGTAAATTTATTTATTTCTCTTTTTTGTGGATAATAATACCTTTTTTAAGAGTGTGTTCAAATTTTAATTTGTCTTTATTGTTTGAATGAATAAAAATTGAGAAACTAAAAAATCGCCAAACAGCAGAATAAAAAAAAAATGAAAATCTAAATATTGATAATAAATTAAAGAAATCGAGAAATTCAAAAATCAGAGATTGAAATTTTGAAAAATTGAATACACGAAAAATTATAAAATCGAAAAAAAACATTGAAATAGTAAAAGAAAGAAAAAAGTAAAAACTGTGATATATAGTCGAGAAAATGAAAATTAAAAAATCCGGAAAATGAAAAATAAAAAACTTGAAAAATCGGGGAAAGGAGAAATTGAAAAATCGAAAAATTAAAAATTGAGAAACTAAATAACAAGTTGTAATACCGAAAAATTGTAAAATTGAAAACTGAAAATCGAAAAAATTGAAGAAACGAAAAATTGTGATGTTTAAAAATTGTAAAATCGAACAAAAAAGCAATAAATGAAAAATTTTGATATCAAAAAATAGTTTTTTCGAAAAATTTTTTGATATTTTTTATTTTAAAAAATTTCCGGGCATCCGCTGTTGACTTTGGGTAAGCAGTCTTTACCTGATGGTTGTGAACTATAATCGCCGTCGTAGAACCTATTCTATATTATTTTTCCAAAAAATCAAGTCAAGATTAACATGTAATAATTAATAATCTATCAACTGAATGTGTCAAAATAAAGACATGAAGTAGCACGTCTTGTCTTTGCGGTACACCAAATCCCGGAAAAACACTTCCTTACACAAATCTTTTCATATTATATAATTTCTCTAAAACCGCTCTCATTGCGATTTTAACCTAAACAGTAAAAACAACAACATGATTAATCTCAAAGTGTTGTTCTATGTAACAATTTTCGCCATTTTCTGCTCTTGTTTGAAATGTGTTGATTGTGCGCCAGCCGTTCGAAGTGACGCAATTATAACAAAGTGGCCAGAAAACGAAAACTCTCCAGACGAAGACCCCGGATGGATGGTAAATTTTAAAATTATTGTTTAAGTGCGCTGACCCTTTTTTGTAGCGAAGACAACTGATGCGATTCGGGGAAGTCGCCAGCCAAGTCGGCAACTCGATGGGGGCCCACGCCGCTAAAATAAGCTCAGCTATCGATAAAGTCTGCGAGATTGTCAAGACAATCATTCCTCTCGTAGCAGCGGTGTGCCACGTCGGAGAATTTAAATTTTGTACCGCCACAACCCAGGCTGGAAAATAAAATGTATGAAAAACAACCACAAAGGGTTTGAAATAAAATATTTCTTTATTAAGTACACCTTTTGAATATTTACAAGCCCTGCGCCTGATGCAAAAAGGGAACCAAAACATCCCGTCTCCCCCAAATTATCCTCGACGACGCTGGCAACAAGAAATCGATGCAATGATATAAAACAGCACAATTGAATCGTTATTACGACGCCGGTATTGCCGGCACTAAACTTTACGTCTTATTTTTATAATGGAAGATAAAAATCGCTATTTTGTTCTGTTTAACATCGTCGCTAAAAGTTATTGTAGCGTTTTATTTTTACTCCCGTACCTTCAACAATACATTAAAATGAGGCACCTCATTTCTTTACTCACGCAAATGCGATTTCTTCACCGAGGGAGATTTATTATTCGACGAGTGACCTACCGGAGCGCCGGAGGCTGTCTTTTGATGCGCAACAACAGTTTGCTTCTTTAATGTAATGCAGGGCCATTGTGGACCGCGGATCCCTCCGAGGTGTCCCATCTTTCTTGGCTGGAGATACGGACAAAGCTGGAATTCGGGCGTACTTAGAGAAATGAACGCGATATTTGTATTCCGGCGGTTTTTTCCGGAATGCCAAACCTGCTCCACAAATACATAAGATGTAATTATTATAATGAACACGTCCATTTGTCAGAGTAAAGCTGTTTTATTCTAATGTCCCTGCGTTCGCGTTCTTAAGCCCGTTTTATGATACCCATTTAAATGTAAAAGATATATACAGATGCGAGAACGGACCTAACAAGGAAGAGTAAAATAGCTTCGGTGCAGTCGCTGGATCGTAACTCCACTAAAAGAATTGCGCATAATAATGCTTTAGAATACTTTTAGGTACTCTAGAAATTTTCACTACATTTATTGCTTCCAGAGCGCAAGCTAAGGATGTATTGTCTGATCATCCCCATCAACGATGATATGACGTCATCTTCAACTTTTACAATAGTAAATTTAATTACAAAGTTAGATTATCCTCTACTTGTAGTTTATGAATCCGTGTTGAAGTTTTGAAAACAATCGGTCCGGTAGTTTAGAAAATTATCTGTCGTACAGACGCGGACAGACGTCAGACGAAAACGAGGACCTATTTTTGCGTATTCTAGGAGTCATGAAACGTCGAGCTCAGCTTACCCTCGGGAAGTAAAAATGTACTTGAAACTAATGCTAATTTATTAATAAGAACGACGATTCTGAACTTCGCCAAAGAGCTTTTTTCTGTCGATAAACTCGGGCTGGTGTAGGCGGACTAAAAATTCCCTCGCTAAACTCCAGCAAAGCCCGTAAACACGAAATAATTTGTGCACACAATTCCCATAAATTTCTCGGCCGATCCCACTTCTGATCTTATGTAGGTAACTTAATATCCCGGTCGCGATATGTTAAGTCTGCCGCCCCTCACTATATCATGTTTAGTGGCTTGTTGCCGTTATCTGAGGGTAATAGGGAAGAACATCCGTCTTAAGAATGTTATTGGTTCCGTCTTAAATGGACCTTTAGCGATTTATGCATCGTAATAAGCTTGACTTATTGTCGATGTCCCAGAAATGGGAAACATATTCTTAGAGATAAGCCTTCGGCAGCGGGGTCACCGGATCGGGATTATTCCAAAATTGGAAAAGCTTCGAGAATATAGATTGTAACAGGCTGATCTCATGCAAAGTAACGATGTCTAGATGTCGCCGGAGGCGGGATTTGCACCAAGTTATGGAGTAGCGGAGGCGAGCATCGAAAATTGCCGATTATACGGACTTAACGCGGGATAAGAACGCCGGCTGGTGGACGTCTTAGCCGAATTTGTAAATCAGAGACGTTTAAGTACATATCCCCACTTTTGCGTAAGAGAGCGTGACCATGAGGTAGTCAGTCCTCGATTTCGAACGTTACATAGTTCAATCCTCTGTAACATAAACCCCAATTTCTGGGTCGGCGTCAGCCCAACAAAGACAAATAAGTTGACGCAGTGGCGACCGGAATCCCTGGCGGGTTCGTAAGGGTTGCGACTTCAAAGGGCCGGTCGAATGTAAATTTCAATTAGTAGGAAATAATGATTCGGCGATTGTTTGCTAGCGTGGCAGAGAGGCAACCGTCTTGGAGTGACCGCAGAATGATGGAGGTGTTTACGGACGTTCGTCAGCCAGAGATTCCATGATTAGTAAGCGGTCCGTTGTAATGAATGCCCTGTGAGTCTCCTGGAAAGTTCCAGACCGCACCGGCCAATCCAGCTCCCCGAACAATTTCATAATTACGTAGTATTAATATCTTAAGATGTCGCTAAGGATACGCTAATCCCGGGCCAAGTGCGCGCCCTCGTGAAGAGTTACGTTCAAGAGGATCTCCGTTTAATTATGCAATAAGTATGAGAGACTTAACAAGGCAATTAATCTTCTCGGGTAATTTTTCACTGAGCGTCTCTTGTTCGTCAAAGTAGCTACTAATACGGGGATTCCTGGAGGGACGTTTTTTAATCGATGGGATGTCGTGTGATGGCGGAATTTGTAGACCGCCAGAACACGACATATTAATCAAATAATCGATGAATCTAATTTACCGCTCAGGCAACTACAAATTGACAAAACAATCACACGTCTGCCTTTGTCCCAAACGTCCGACCGTGGCCATTTCGCCAAAGGGTTGGTAAATATTCGTTACGTCCGTAACACAATTTATTCACGCTTTATTCACTTGTTTTCAAACATGCATGTCCGACAGAACTCAAACTTGATTTGCACTGAACAAACAGCGGTTTTAGCGAGCGATAAATGTTCGATAAACTCGCCCGTTTACTCTGCAAAATAAACTCCACATTTCCGTCATAACTTATTTAACAGATATTGGTGGAAGCGACGTCCAACATTTATAGAAATCTCGCCTCCGGTTGGTTGGGTCAACGTCCATTTAGAACCAGACTCGCTATCACGATTAATAAAAACGTGGTCGACGTTATTTCGACTGAATTTCCTTCGCCTCTGAAGTGCAACCCAAAAATCCAGAAGGACCAGTGCTGTAAATAAAAATATACTGTTGGAAAAATTGAAACATCAGAATATGGAGAGGTTAAAAAATTGAGGAATGCAAAAAATTTAAAACATATAAAACTAAAAAATTGAAAAAAAAATCAAAGAACTGAAAAATCGAAAAATCCAGAAAGTGAAATATTTTAAATTAAAAAAGTTCAAAAATTAATATATCGATATCGACCAATAATTGAAGAATCGAAAAATTGAAAAATCGTAAAATTGAAAAATCGGAAATTTGAAGAATCGAAAGGTTAAAAACTGGAAAATTGAAAAATTTTAAACAAAAGTGAAAAATTTAAAAAAAAACGATAAATCGAAAAATCCAAAATTGAAAAGACAAATATAACATTCGAAATATCGAAATCTAAATAAAAATCACCGTAATCGAGAAATCGAAATTTAAAAATCGTAAAACTTAGAAATCGAAAATTTTAAAAACAGAAAAATTCAAAAATAGAAAAATCAAAAATCGAAAAATCAAAATTAAAAAATCAAACATTTTAAAAATCCCAAACATTGACACATCGAAAAATCGAAAACATTTTTTGATTATTGAAAAATCTAAAATTTAAAAATTCAAGAAATCGAAAAATCTAAAAAGTAAAAAAATCGGGAAATCGAAAAATTGAAGAATGGAACAAAAATTGAAGAATCGAAAAATCCAAAATGAAAAATCGAGAAATTGAACATTCGAAAAATCGACACATCGAAATCACGATAAATCGAGAAATGGAAATTGAATAATGGAAAAACTGAGAAATCGAAAAATTTAAAAACAAAAAAATTCAAAAATAGAAAAATCAACAATCGAAAAAACAAAAATTTTTAAAATCGCAAGCATTGAAAAATCGAGAAATCGAAACATCTTTTGATGACTCAAAAATCTAAAATTTATAAGTTCGAAAAATCGAAAAATCGAAAATCTAAAATTTTAAAAAATGAAAAATTAAAATATCGAAATAGAAAAATTGAAAAATCTAAAAAGAAAAAGGCAGAGAAAAAGAAAAATTGAGGAATCGAAGAAAAATTGAAGAATCGAAAAAACGAAAAATTGAAAAATTGGAACATCGAAAATTCAAAAAATTGAAAAATTTAAAAAGTAAAAAATAAAAAATCAAAAAATCAAAAAATTGATGAATCGAAATACTGAAAAATCCCAAAACCGAAACAACGAAAAGTTGAAAAATTGAAAAATCCGTTAATCGAGAAATTGAGAAATCGAAAATTTACAGACGTCAAAAATTGAAGAGTCGAAAAATTGAAAAATCGTAAAATGAGATAGCAGACAACTGAGAATCGGAAAAATGAAAAAAACGAAAATTTGAAAAATTGAAAATTTGAAGAATCCGCGAATTAAAAAATCCCAGCACTGAAATATCGAAAAATTGAAAAACTGAAAACCCAGAAAGCGAAAAATTGAGGAATCGAAATAGCCCAAAGTCGAAAAATCGAGAAATTAAAACTTGAAAAACTTAAAATAAACAATGTAAAATTAAAAAAAAAACACGATAAATAAAAAAATCGAAGATTGAAAAATCGAGAAATGGAGCAATCGAAAAATCTAAACATAGAAATCACGGTAAATCGAGAAATCGAAATTGAAAAATCGAATACAAAAATTTTAAAAATCGAAAAATCGAGAAATCGAAACATCTTTTGATGACTGAAAAATCTAAAATTTAAAAATTCGAAAAACTGAAAAATCAAGAAATTGAAACATCAGAAAATCGAAAAATCAAATTATCTATATTTTAAAATAGGAAAATTGAAAAATCTAAAAAGTAAAAAACCGAAAAATCGAAAATTTAAAAATTTGAAAAATCGAAGAATTAAAAAACTGAAGAATTGAAAGATCTTAAAACTGAAATAACAAAAAATTGAGAATCCGAAAAATGAAAAAATCGAAAAATCGAAAATTTGAAGAATCCAAACATTGAAACATCCCAGCACTGAAATATCGAAAAATTAAGAATTCGAAAAACTGAAAAATCTAAAATTTAAAAATTCG